GCACGAGTGAGAACGATACAGCGGCGTTTACGTGCTCTAGACAAGAACAAACAGTAAAGATTCGGGGAGGATAACTGTCTCATTTGGGAATGGAGAAAGGAGCGTTCTTGGTTGAATATGTAGGTAAATAAAAATAACTTCAGTTCATGAATATGTTCCCAAAATGATTCACTTCAAAGGCAACGAAGTGAAAATGGTAAAGAAAAAATACCAAGAAGATATTGGGAGATGCTAGAATTTTCCAAACATGAGTTCCCAAAAAAATTGATCAACATTATACAGCTGGACAAACTATAGTATACCAATATGGTATATTTATGATAAAAAACTTTTTCAGAGTCTTTGAGAGGAATGTGTGATAAATTTTAGTTAGATTCAATGTTTTATATTAAAATTGACATTCTTAGCGAGCAAATAATATGTAAATTTATCGATATAAATCTATTATATTCATCATATCTGTGGATGGAGCTCTTGATATTATTTCATCTTCGTTCCGCACTCATGCACCAGTATCTATCGCACTCTGTCTCACTCACTGTGCATGACCTATCTAAAGTTGCACGTTGTCATTCAAAGCGCTATAAAAAGTTAATTTTTGAAACGTGCGAAAAGTTTATTCGAAATAAATTGTTCGTTTCACTTCAATCTATCTAGATGGGAGAAAAAAATTGAAATTCATATCGTGAAAAAAAAGTTATTATCAATTGAAGAGGTGTTAATGCTAAATTACTCATTTAATGCGTGACAAAAAATTTATTTTCACATATAAAAAAATTTTGCCAGTTTATATAGCATGGATCGAATCTTCATAATATCCTCAACAAAATGATTATAAGTTGAGGCATCTAAGTTATGTAGTCTCCAAGTTACAAAGGTTTATACATTTACATGCGAAGTAGATTTTTTTTTGTAATTTTTGAGTTTGTTCGTTTATAACTTTTTTCGGTATATCGAAGACTGGAACCTTTGGCACGATAATACCTCGAGGCGTTGAAAAATCGGTTTGGTTAGTGGTAAAACAGTGTAGTGTAACTTTTTTTGGTACCATAGAAAAAAGTTGTCAATTGTTTCTAGATAGGATATAGTGAGGGTCTGATATCTTTCTACTTCCAAAATTTTTTTTGATTACTTTCATCTTGTGTCCCGCTACACTAATAACTATGAGGAGGACATATATGTTTTCACGTAAAAATCACCTTGCTCGTTTCATCCCCTTTGCCTTCACTGATGCCAGCCGCCAGCCCCTCAAAAATGTTAAATGACATTGTAGGGGTGAGAAGTTTTCAAAAGAATATACCCGGTATACCACCCTATATGAGCATAAATTAGTGGTATGTATAAACTCAACTGCAAAAATATAATTCGAAAGTACGAATCTGAATAATAGAAAGGCAGCAAAAAGAGTTCAAGATAGGGAAAAACCGAAAGGGGATTTTTTACAGAAAAATACTGCTATTGGAATGGCTTGCACTCACCTATACATATCCTTCTTAGTTTCCTTGTTATTCGAAATAATGTTACACCTACTATGCATAACAATTTTATAACCTAAATGTTTATCTTACATCAAATTATCATTCGAATTGAATATTGAATGGTTCACGTACACGAAAGATATTGAAACAAATGAAAAGCACAAAGTGTGGTGAAGGAATAATAATGATTTTTCATTAGCTTCGATCCACCACTATAGCGTCCCAATAAAAAAAATCTGACGAGTTCCATGTCAGAGGGCTCGAAAAAGAATAACATCGTTACTCCCATTGGGGGTGATGATAACACCCAGTTTTTCCAATGGATAAGGACTGTTCATATTGCCGATAGAAAAGTGCTCACCGAATTTCAGATCGCTAGGTTTCGTGTCAACTGAGACAGAAATTAAAAACCAAAAATGTATGCGAACCTTAACACCCCGTATAATTAAAACATGTTTCTCCATGACAAAACAGAAGAATACGTATCTAATATTTTGAGTTTTGATCGATTGTCAAAGTTAGACGAGTAAAACCTGAGACACCCTGTATATGGCGTTGTTTATTACACAATATATAAATTCTGTTTATACAAACCAAAAATTCCACTCATGTAATAGTTATTTTTCTTCCCCTGTAACAATGCATTTTGATATTCCATTTGCATTTGTCTTCAATCAATAAATCATGAGGAACAGTTCATATATAAACAGATAGAAAAGTGCTTACCGAATGTCAAATCTGTAGGTTTGGTTTAAACAAGAATAAAAATAAAAACCAAAAATTCATGCGACCTCGAACACCCCGTATAAAGAAAACAAGTGTCTCAACGACAAAACAAAAAAGTTAGACGAGCTAAACCTGAGACACCCTGTATATATTACAGGAACAACTTCAATTTGTAATCTCCATAATCCTTTCGAATCTACTATCCACTATTTCGATTACATTTTATTTTGCCAACATTCATCATTGCGAGGTATATTTTGACAGACTGTCTTCTGCGATATTTATTACCAGTTCGATAATTACTTCTCGGCATTATAACTTTTGCTCACACAAATAATGCACAAATATTGAAAAACGCATATGTCACTGTCGGAATACTGAAGTAAACTGAACAAAAACAATATTCCAATCCCCCGTGTATAACACTAATTCCAGGATTTTCGGACCCTTTATGTCCGCCGCTTTTATGCTCACCGCCTTTATGTCCATCGCTTGCCGCTTGCCAAACATGTTCAATCTTTTATCATCTAATTGGGTGAGTCACCTGGAGCGAACCTATTATTCTTCCTTGAGAGATTTCTCTGTTTATCTATTTCCAGAAGGCAAATTCTTAATGTTGACAAGAATATTAAAATATATATATGTAACTCGTATATTATATAATACCAGTTATTACCTAGAATTAGGGTCCCTTGATGGAAATTGACGTAAAAGTCACCTTAACAGGGTACGGACAGATCATAGCTGCATTCTTTTTTAATGATCTAGAGACTTTAGTTTTGTCTACTGGCATCCCTGACATTACTGTCACATCATTATCATGGGCGCTACAAAAATCATTCAAAATTTTGATAATAGGTATGTACAGGGTATTTACAAGTATTTACTTGTTGAGGAAGATCAGATAGCGAACGAGTTTTGTAATTATGATCCAATTCTATTCAAAATTAGAAGGTATCTGGGGTTTTCCGGGGTTGGAGATAATGATTGTTTCGTCAAACTTGGAAAATTCAAGATGGTGAATCCAATATAGAGCGAAAGAAATGCCTAATTATGATCTGCTTCTATTTAAGATTGGTATCTGGGGGTTTTCGGGATAGGAGATAATGTTTGTTTCGTCAAAATTCGAAAATTCAAGAAGACGGATCCAATATGGCGAAATACATTAGTTTATATAATTATTACTCTACCACAAATACAAAATATGTAGGATGCAAGCGTGAAAATAACGTGTCTGTAAGTTATACTGCGTATACCTACTTCTCTGTTACTTTCATCAACAAATTATTCGAAAATGACTTTTCATTCAGGGGAGACGGATAAATCATTCGTATAACATTAGGGTGAAGTATATTGTATCATTTATTTTCCTGCACATTTAACGTATCACTTTTCATCAGCCTTGAGCCTACTTTTCATCCCAGATGAAGTTTTATACATAGTGTCATATTAGTCACTCCATAAATTCTTCTCAGAATTGTATTTCCGAAAATATATTGAGCACACATGACATGAATACAGTATTTCAGCTACCCACATCGAGGTTTCCACCATTTCTCAATCATAAGACTCTGCTCATTCAGCTCAGAGATAAACTTCTGCTCAGCTTGAAGTCAAAATTCATTTAGTCAATTAGTCAACCCTAATTTACAGTCTGAGAACAGTCTCTTTCGCTGAAATATATTAAGCTGTCAGTACAATTTATATGATTCCTACCTCGCAAAGATTATGCTGGAGTAGTAGACTCTAAAACTAGAGGATTGTTTATCTATATCTTGGTATAGTCCTTGAGTATTGAATCAGGAATTCCATATGGAAATCACGTATGATACGCCAGTGACCTCAATATAACCTAAAAAACAACGAATGTCAAAAATCTAGTGTTTATCCCCAGAATTGAATAAGGATGGAACTATATAACTGTTTCACAAACACTTTAGAGTGAGAGGAGACGAGGATCTGTCCGTACCCTGTTAAGGTGACTTTTACGTCAATTTCCATCAAGGGACCCTACCTAGAATAAATATGATGGAACTTCTGGCATTCCTTATATTCGCATTTTGAAATTGGAATTGGGGTCCTACCTACAAACCATACGTATTTTTATTATATGGGTTACCTAATAAACGTACCTATACGTCGTATTCAAAAATTCAATCAACCCATCTAAAACTTCTTTTGGTTTCATCTCCAGTGCTAAAATTTTCTGAATATCGTCAGTGCTACTTTTTATGAATGAATTCACTATTCATTCAACCATTCATAGTATCCATGTAGAAGTGCATATTCGTGTGAGGGCGCTCGTATCAGTGAAGAAAAATGATCCTAAATTGCGTCTGCAGAGGTCCAGCAAAAATCACTTTTGATGGTGATATTTTGGATGGATCCTTGCGAATTTTTTTGACAACGAAGATAAATGTATAAGTGAGGCATCTCTCGAAGTACTTTTCAAAAAAAATATATACCTAGTGAGAAAAAAAATAGTGAATCTGGTCAATTTTCTGGAATTTTTTTCGACTATTTTTTTTCAAAATTTTGAAAAAGTACTCCGAGAGATGCCTAGATCCAACCTTCTAGAAACGATCCGTGAAAAAAAATCCTACATTTATTCAGCGAGCTCCGAGTATTTTGATTTCTGCCGTTCCTTGTTTTCCCAATGATCGCTCATAGGGTTAAACCCCTCTTAAATATGTATCTTCAAAGCTTGGTTCAAAGTTAGTACCCAAATTTTCTAAATACAAGTATTTGGACCAGGATAATATTCAAATACCATGAGTACTTACTTATTTTAAATTGGAAATGCTATTTCAGAACCCAAAGAAATTATTTATACTTTGAACAGTAGGAAAATAGATCTAGTGAGATATGTAGTAATGTTATAATCAATTAATATGTACAAACATTTATAAAAGTCACATCTACAGATAAACAATTTTTTTATTTTTTCCATTTGATTTCTGCAAAAAATAACAACTAATCATCACATTCCTGCATTTTTTCATCATTTTCTTCCTCCTCTTCCACTTCAAATTCCTCAAAACCCTTTCCTTTTATCCATCTACCTTTCAAAATTAACTTAAAAGTAGCTAACCTATGTTCAAGTAATTCTAGTATTTTTGCTTGCTCAGGAGTTATAATACTGCCCTCTTTGCACACTTCATAGTCTTTTAGTAGTGTCACAACTCCTGAAAATCAGAAAAAAATAATCATGAATCCTTCAGAGGTGAATTATTTCAAAGTAAGGTTACCTCTTTCTAATTTTGTGGGCATTCCAAGTTGCCTCAAGTAGGGTTCAATTGCATGTGAAAACTGTTTTAATGGGCCTTCATTCAGGGTAATGCTTTGTGTTGCTTTGAACCCAGATCTGGCATATTCTTCCACAGAGTAGCTGTTGAACCATTCCTCTACTTCTTTTTTCTTGGAGTCTGTGAATAACAGCCCATTCTGTCCTTTCAAAATTGAAGATATCTACAAATTAAAATCACAGTTTTCCTTGTATTGAATTTAAAACCCGCAAAGTGTTACCTTGTGCAAATCTTTTTCAACTTCCTCCTCCTCAGTTCTACCTAAACCTATGGCGATCACTTTGTTTTTGCCAAAGAAAAATCTACTTGGTTTCCATTCTTCTCTAACCTCCTTCATTTTCTCATTTCTCATATTTCGATAGGTAAAGACATATATGCTTTTATATTTCTCCACACAATTTCTCACATCTTCCACTATCTTTTGCTTCAAAGCGAGCCCTTTTTTATCAGTTTTTGTTAAGGAAACTGGAATGAAAATAAAATATCTTATAGGTTATGAAACTAGAAAGTAGAAATCACTGAATGTTTTTACATTGAATTGAATGGAGACTTACTTTTCTTATCTCTCTTGGATCTTGGCATTGTTTAAGGCAGCTGAACACAACAACTTCTCTAATAGTATTTTCGTTGATTTAATTAAAATTGTTTTCTCAGCAAACTGAGAAACACTTTGAAAAACGTGTTTTAATGTTATTGTTTGTGATTGTGACTGATTTTGATTTGTGACGTTTGGGAAATGGTCATTGTCATTGTCAATGAGTCAACTGTCAAAAACTTCTTCTTTTTTATTTTCTTTATTCTTTGGCCTCATTGCTTCATGTTACTATCATTATGTTAGTGAACTCGTAATCGTATCCTGAGCAAAATGATTGAAAAATTGCACTCAATTCCGCCATTTGATTTCGAAATAGAAATAATGCATGATACTAAAACCTTTTAGTATCATGGAAATAATGCCATCCACGGCACAACACACACAGCACTCATATTTGGTGCTATTATTCCGTTTCACACTGGTCCAAGTGGTCCATCGGATATTATCATTTGACGAGGGCGAAATATTCACGGAAATATTGACGCTCTGCCACTAACTTAGATCAGTTTGAATCACGGCCCGTTTGGATATTCGCAAAGGAATCACATGACGGAAGTATGTCTGGCATAAAAAGCAGCAAATAAATCGCTGTGGAAAGAAAAGTGCAATTTTGCTCAGGGTAGTGATTGGCACAGGTGCCGTTTGATGAACTACAAGGTTTTTACTTTCCTTTGGGAAATATATCATTTCGTTATCAGATGGCAGTAGAATTCTAAAGCCAGCTCCCCTACTATCAGACTCTATTGTATACACCAGATTAAAAAAATCAATATATTTATTCATCAAAGTTCATAATAATTAAAATAAAACATGTATCACATAAACTGCATGTAAACTCATTCAACATATCATTCAAAAATATGTGAAGAATTTTCCTTGCCCAAACATTCATCAATATGCTCGCTCATATCCTGCTCTTTAAACAACTTCATGCAAAACGGACAATTATACCTGTTGTCCTCCTTCTCAACTTCTCCTTCAACAGGGTCATTTTCATCATCAAAAATCTGACTCAAACTCATACACTCCTCCAAATGATTGTCCAACTGGGATTTCCGAATTTTCTTACTGCAAGCCAGACAATCCACTTTGTCCTCTGCAAGACCATTCAATTGGGCTTCAATATTGTCATACATGCCATTCAAGCATGCCTCCAAATGTACTGGATACTGTTTTGCTGGAACAGTTTTTTGGCAGACCTCACAATTCTTGTCTTCCTCTAATTTCCCCTCACAATCACAGATCACAGTTTCTTTTGCTTCCTCAAAAACATCATCACGGAAAGCTTCTTCTGTGCATTTGCTGACATGGTGTTCATAGTCTGCAGCAGCAACTTTTTTCTGGCAGATGATGCACTCTTCAAACTTGCTTTCTTTCAGGCATTCATCCAGATGAGCATTCAATTCAGTATCTTGGATTTGTTTGGAACAAGCTGGGCATTCTACTGCAGAGCTTGACAGCTTGGGTGCTTTTTCAACAGGGTTGCCAGCTTGGGAGCTCATGCTCAAGGTTCTTTTTTTGGTGCTAGACTGATCAGGAAACTTGTTGAGCCAGTGATTCCTGACAGAAGAGTATTCCTGTTCACTCAGAGCTCTTGTGGGAGGTTGAGGATCTTTTTTGACATAGGTACTAGGGCCAGCCTTAGAGTCAGGCTGTTTTGCTTCAACTTTGGTTATACTAGGTTTTTTGTTGATCACTATGGTGTTGCTGGCATTTTTGACAGCACCTTTGGTACTGCTGCCAGGTTTTGGGCCTGCCAAATTTGTGAAACCGAAAATATTTCCAGCTTTTGGAATGGGATTAGAAACAGTTTTTGTATTGTCATTATTTGAGATTGTGTGAATTTTATTGGACAATGATGTAGCTTTGATATTTTGAGGACTATTTGGAGAAGCAAGTTTGGACAGATCTTTAGATTTTTCAGTAGGAAGAAAGTTTCTGATGTCAGAAGTTTTTTTAGGATCTACAATTGGCTTAGATTTGCCTGTTTTCACTGTTTTTTCTGGCTCCTTCACCTGCAATGTTGGTAAATAATGAGGAAACTGTCATATTTTTCCAAAAGGAAGGACAAGATTGGTGCATTGTAATTTGAAAAAAATGTGCATCAAAATGTTTCTGCCAATCACTCTATCAAATTGAGTGAGTTAATATCTGTATCTGTAGTCAGAACCAGAACAGAATTATATAAATTAAAAGCAATAGATCTACTCTACTATAAATTAATATCTATACATTATGTACATTACCTAATTGTTTTTTGCTCAACAGTTATAATTGCCAGATAGTAAAAACTACAGAATAAAAAAGGCAGCTACTCATATAATATAGTTGATAATACCATCACCCATTTTATAAAGAAAAATATGGGCTATACTAATAAGTAAAGTTAACATAATAATAACCAAAACCAGAGCCATTACTTTTCATTTGTATTTTCTGAAGGAGATTCTGAAACAAATATCACACATTGAAAAACTGAATTGACTAGAAAAGAAAACACTTACTTTGGTGAATAAAATATAGGAAACTAAAATACTTTAAGAGAGGAATACTAATTATATTGTACTAACCTTTATAAAACTTCCACCACAATTTCTTGAATGCTCCCCCCACCATCTGTCATTAGGCCCTGGTGGTCTATTCATAGCCCTTTTAACCATTCCAAAGAAGGGCTTCCTGCTTTGACAGGGACCATCACACCTCCACCAGTGCTGCTGATACAATCTAACTTCATCATGAAAGTTGTGGTAAACTGTTATATTTGTACCTAAACAATAAATAAATCATCACCTTTGATAAAATTGGAGTCTTAGTGACACTTACCTGCTTCAGAGTTGATCCTGTACATGTGTTTATGAAACTCTGGTCCATGTCCATCTCTGTCCCTGTTATTGTGTGTCACAAACAGATAAGCATGAATCATCTCATGCAGCAGAGTTTCCACCAAATCTTTCCTTGGTCTGAGCTTGAGCAGGGGCTCACTGAGCGTTATGGTGCACATTCCTCCAGCCCCTTGGTAGGAGCAGATGCCAGCACAAGTGGTCATTCTCTTGCTCCAGCTCACAGTCACAGCTCCCAGTTTGTTCCAGAAAAACCTCTGGTTGAAAGCAATGAACAGAGCGTGGATGTCCGGAGTGGGATCGATCACTTCCCAGGATGGGTCAGTGAGGGATTTCCCTGAATTTTTGGGCTTGTTCACTGGTTTGTCGTACACCAGATTTTGAGAGGGGCATTCCACTTCGTATTCTTTCTGGTAGTGCTCCTGTAGGCTCCTGGCTAGTTCGAGGTCGGCCTCAGATTTCTTTTGGAGGTTGACTTCCTTCTCGAATTGTTCTTGCAGAGATCTGGCAAGTTGGAAGTCTGCCTGGGCTTTTTTCTCTTGGTCAAATTTGTGCTGCAGTAGCAGAGCGAGCTGATAGTCGACCTCTGCCATAGCTAGTGCAATATTCAATAGACTGTGGTGGAAATGATAAAATTGATAACGGAATCCTGATTTTTTTTTTGTAAAAAATTATTTCATCCTATCAGTTTTCCAACTTTTCCTCCACTCCATTTCCATCCATTATTTCTTTGGTCACTTGTCATCTTGTCATCTGTCACGAGTGTCACGTTTCATGTGCCGTTTTCAGTGTTGCCAATAAGGCGCAAAATGCGCAATAATTGCGTTTTTCAACTTCGTTTTGCGCCGTTGCAACTTTTTTGCGAAAAATCACGCTTTTTGCTCCGTATAAGAGCCGCTTCACGGTTCGCGATGAAAAAAAATGCAGCCTTTTAATTGCGCACTCAGGCACTAGTGTCTAGTGTCATTATGAACAACTGTCTCAATTTTTCTGTGCACAGGAAATGGGCCCGAACTTGTTAGTATCATGGATCCGGACCTGTTTTTACTGTTCTCGTGGTTTCTTCTACCAACACAAAACTCAATAAGAACCAAAACCACAGTATTGTGATCATATCACGTGATGGGAATGTTTCGAAAGATTTAGGCATTTCTAATTTTCGTAATGTTGCGAAGCCTGAGCGTAATTTCCTTTTCTTCCCTTTCCCTTTCCTTTCCAATTTCCTTTCTGTTCTTGCCTCTTGGCAGCCATTTTGTTGTAAGGTTTTGTGTTGTGTCAAGATTCAAGAAGGCGAGAAATAAAATGTTTCAATTTTAAATGTACACATTTTCCTGTTGTTTTTCACCAATGGAAGTGATTATTAGTGAATTCTACGAGATTCTACATCATTAGGACTGGTTTGTATAATAAAATTAAATAAATATGACGCAGTTTTTGCCACCGAATTTGTTGGCATTGTTCGCCCCACGCGACCCAATTCCGTACATGCCCCCGGTTGCCAAACTACCTCACGAGAAGAAAAACAGAGGATACTTGGGACTGGGACGGTTTCTAGATCAATTTGAGGCAAGTTTTTGTTGATCTCATGAATGCAAACCCCCTTTTCTAACTCGGTATTCTTAGGATCCTAAAGACACTCCGCCACCAACCAAAGTGGAGACGAGAGAAGAAAGGTTAGAACGACGTCATAGGGAAAGGGCTGAGCAAGTAGCTTATAAGTTAGAACAAGAAATTGCAATATGGGATCCTGCTTCAGCTCCCACCAACACCTCGGATCCATTCAAAACTCTGTTCATTGCTAGAATTGTAAATATTTGTTCTTCTTGATGGAATTTGGTTTAGGTTCAACTCATTTCTTGTTTCAGAACTATGATTCATCAGAATCCAAGCTGCGCAGGGAATTTGAAGTTTATGGTCCCATTAAAAAGGTAAGTGTTCAATATTAGCATTGTTTCAGAAATTTAAGATGATTGGAGAGCTTGTACTTGCATCTACAAACCCCACAATTGATAAAATTGTCTTTTGTGTCAAAGTTTGATGCTAGAGAATTGAGCTGTGAATATCCAATGAAGATGATTGTTTGTCTTGATCTTTTTCTATTTCACCTCACAGACAATAATTATTAAAATGTGCTATGCTCTCATGATGAATGTAGAAGTGAAAAAAAAGTGTCTCAGCATTGTGTTTTTATTTTTCAGATTGTACTCATCCATAACAGTGTTAATGGAAAACCTAGGGGGTATGCTTTTATTGAGTATGAACATGAAAGGGACATGCATTGTGAGTATGATGGGTATCTGCTCAGTGTTTTTGTTTTTAATATACCACTTCATGTTCTCATATTATTTTGATAAGTACAGAAATTTCATAGTCAAATGTGTGTTATTATGATCTATTTTTGAGTTTTCATTTCCAGAAAGGTATTCATAATTTTTCTATACCTTAAAATATGAAAGATAGGTATCTTTGTTTATAGGTCCATGGGTAAGTACTAGAAAACAAGCCTTATTCCTGGAAATTTATTTCAAGTCTTGAATGAATTAGTAATGTTTATATGTTATCACTATAAATTCAACTGAGGTTCAATACAATTATTATTATTTCTAAAACATAATTTTTTGTAGAGTGAAACTTTTGCTGCAGTGAAAATCATAACATTTTTATATTTCAGTAATTTTTTCAACATTTTGTCTCATGTGAAGTACTTAATTTGTCTTTCTATACTTATTTATTATACAGGGAAAAAAAAGTAATAGAGTTTAGCTCCAAGTTGTAGGAAGACAAAAAACCGTGAGCTAAAATCTAATATTTTTCCTGTGTAATACACAATTTTTTTCTGTGATAGGAAAAAGGGCAAATCAATATTTAGAAGATATTACATAATATTGAAATCAGAAAATTATAAGTTTTTAACTGGAATGAAACCTGCTTTGCTGGCATCTGTATCATTCTTTGGAAGTAATCAAATATCTTTCAGTCTAATCTCCTGATTTGATTTTAAAAAATTGAATTAGTGGTTGTTTAGTAATTTACATAACCTCAAAGTCAAATGGAAGATGAAAGGACTTGCAGTTCTTTCTCAAAGTTGGTGTTACATATTGGCTTATTTTTCGGAACTATTGCACAACAACAGCCATCAACAGTGTATATACAGGGTGTCCGGGAATTATGCGCAAAAAATCGAGGGGGTGATTCTACATAATAAAATGAGAAATTCATTTTATGTGCACGTGTGTCCGTAAATGCAGTTTTCAACATACAGTGTGTTAACTTTTAAAAAATATCAGTTTTTTATGAATATCTCAAATGTCCTTCCACTGATTGTTTTGAAATTCGGCAATGATTTTTTTTTGTCATAAGGGGCTGATATACCCATAATTCAATTGGAATTATGAAATCCAGTGCCGTCCTGGGGGGCAACCTACCAAATATTATTGTCAACAAAATATGCCCCACTGAGATTTTTGAATTCTGTATCTTCATAACCTATTGGCCAACTAAAATTACAACATTCTGGTCTCTCGAATTATTTGGATAATTTGCTTCATTTCCATGAAAAAAAAAATCTATTCATTGCATAAATGTGTGCCAAAAAATTCCTTCAAAAACTGGGGTGAAAATAAATGCATGATCAATGTCCATAGACATAGAATAAGTATAAAGATAAATTTTCTTCAAATATTTCTTGATACATAATTGACACACTCTACACTGTATATTGAGAACTATGTATTCTGGGTCCAGGACGGTGTAGTTTTCGATAATACAAAGTGTGTGAAACATGTATTATACAATATTTGAAGATGATTGATCTTCATTCTTATTCTACGTCTATGGAAATGGATCACACATTCAATTTCACCCCTGTTTTTGAAGCAATGTTTTGCACAAATTTATACAATGAATTGGTATTTTTTCCACGGAAACGCAGCAAAATAGCAAGAGAATTCAAGAGACCTAAATGTTGTATTTTTAGTTGATCATCAGGATATGAAGATATAGAATTCAAAAAAATCAGTGGCGCACATTTTATTGACAATAATATTCGGTAGGGTGCCCCCGGGACGCCACTGGATTTCACAATTCCAATTTGAAATAGGCTAAGTCAGCCCCTCATGACAAAGAATATCATTGCAAAATTTCAAGAGAATCGGTGGAAGGATATTTGAGATATTCATAAAAATTCGATTTTTTCCAAAAAGTTTAACACACTGTATCTTAAAAACTATGCATTACCATTTTCGAGATTTTTATTTGTTGAAAATATCCACTACCAAAGTTTTCAATGATAATATTTCGCACAGCCCCCCTTTAAAATATTCGGAGAATGTTTTTAATGTATATGTTGAAATCATTCTTCAGCAGTATTTACTGAAAAAATTAACCAATAAGATGTAAAATTGTACTAACCGTACAGACAAAACTATTGAAAGGGGCAAAAATTCAATATTTTCAACAAAACGTAAACGGTGAGACTTTTATAATGGGAATTTTATCATAGTAGGTGGGTTATCATCCTTTGATCTACATTCTCCCTAGGTTTGACGTGGTCTTTACGGGACACCCTACCCTGTATATCCGGGACACCCTACCCTGTATATCCGGGAAAACTACTAACTTTTTTCCTGTAGGAAAAAAGTAATTTATGAAAAGTGACATTTTATAACCTGTCAACAGATATGAAATTTGAAACTTTTTTCCCGTCACAGAAAAAATGATATAGAAAATATTTTATTTTTCCAAAGTATTATAATTTGTTGCTATGTTCTGCAATTCTATGGACCTTAGATTTCAATACATAGACATAGTAACACACATCCTTCCTAATCAATTGAAAAGTGGTATATTGGTCGAAATTTTTAGTTGTATGTAGCCAGCAACTCCACCAGATGTTCACATAAAAACTGCAAAACTAAAATTAATTTTTTTTCTATTTTTCATACAGTTGAGCTGCAGGCAACTAAGTAGTGCCGATTTGACCCAAACTTCCGCTTTTTGCTGGCTATATAGGTTTGTATGTGTGGTAAGAGCCCTACATACAAAAAAAAAGAACATAAATTTTAATAATTCATGAAAATTCAAAAAGTCAATCAGTTGAGCATCAATTGAAAATTTGAGAGTTTGTAGCCTTTATTTTTTCTTGATTAAATATTAATATAAATTTAATGGGTATGCGCTTCGTAAGTAATTGCGCACCAGGTAAATCTAAAAAAAAGGATGGCCTGCACAGCAGTGACGATTTGATATTCAATTCACTTCAACTTTTTCAATAAGACGTTTCTTACGTAAGTAAACCGGGTAGGTATACTTCATTAATACCTATTTAATTACAAGCCAGAAAGCATTGCAATTCAACTGTACTTTCTCACTACCATGAAAATTATCATGTAACTGTTCAATAAAAAAAAAAACAATTATTCATGAACCATGAGAAAGTATGGTGAATTGTTTTCAATTCAGTTTTTTTTTTGTCTATCAGGTAAAACATCTTTTATGTTGAAAAACTTTTTATCTTGTGCGGTAGCTGATGTGGGCAAGATGGAAAGTTGTCTTATTTGCCTCACAACGTTTTTTTCTGTAATTTGAATAACGTTTCCAGCTGCTTACAAACATGCAGATGGTAAGAAAATCGATGGGAGACGTGTGTTGGTGGACGTTGAGAGGGCCAGAACTGTCAAAGGTTGGCTGCCTAGGAGGCTAGGTTAGTAAAAAAATAATATTCTTTTTAAATTCCTGATTTTGTTTATCTATCGATGTCATTGAAGAAATTCCGCAATATCGATATTTTCTTATTTCTGACCCCCTTATAATAAAGTGTGTACGCCCCTGAAGTCACTTTTTTTTTTCGGTGGTTAAACACCTAAATTCATTGTTTTTGGTTTCGATTCTGACGACTTTACTGAAGGAATTACGGAATCAATTCATTATTTTTGACATCTTCATAAAAAATATGTATGCCCCTGATGTCGCAAATTTGTTTTTTTTTTTTTTCATAATAAAACTATCATTTTTGTTTTTTACCCGGCAAAAAAAATGGTACGCCCCCGAAGACTTATAATTTTTTCTGATAGTGTTTTCATTGATCTGTTATTTCACTTCCCCCTACATATCTAAATCGACCGGTTTTTGCCAAAAATTGTAATCTTCGCAGATCAGAAGATATGCAGGCTGGTAAGTTTTGAAATGAAAGCCATGTATACACTTTTCAACAATTATATCTAAAGATGGATTAATGCAAGCAAAATTTTAAACGCAAACCAATAATAGAAAACTACGAAATACCATCAGTTCTACCAACCTTGAATTTTGGTTGGAATTTCGCCATCTAACGGGTAAAATGCGAACTATATTCCGCGATATTGAAAAGTCAAGTAGGCCGTAGGTTGACCGGAAAACAGAAGATGGGATTTGGAGTTTCTACACCATCCTGGTTTAAATTAAATATGGATTACATATTCATCGATATTATCGTTATAATCATTCATATTCATTATTTAAGGTGGCGGTTTGGGCGGCACCAGAAGAGGCGGCCCGGAAGTGAACATCAAGCATTCCGGGCGGGAGGATAACGAGCGAGAGCGCGAACGCTACCGGCTGGAGCGAGAGCGCGAGGAGCGGGGCGAGAGAGGCGGGCCGATGGGCGGACCGAGAGGGGACCGCGAAGGTAATTGTTTTTCGCACGAATTTTCAGAAAATCAAAAATCTGATTTATTCTCCTAAACCCGTATACTCATCCGTATACTTATGATAAATTCACCGTGTCCTGACGATGAGAGTTATTCGCAGGTGGCTTGGGAGGCGGTCGCAATCGGGACAGAGGGGAGGGTTTCGAGGGTCGCCGGCGGTCTCGCTCTCGGGAGAGGGAGAGGAGGAGGAGGGGCAGCAGGTCGCGGTCGCCGCGGCGGGAGAAGAGGAGGCGCAGCAAGGAGAAGATACGCGAAGAGATTACCATCGAGGACGATTTCGATGGCAGGCCGAGGGACAGGGATCGCGACAGGTAATTAGCGTGATGTGATTGAAAGTGGTGTATGTCGCACGCAAAGTTGCAAAAAATAGTGATTTTTTTTTATTCGTACAGATTTTTTGGATTTATACTTAATTAGTCTTGAAATGTGAAAATAATGACTTTTGAATCCCTTATTCACATTGGTTTTCTCTATTCGTCCAATATTTGTTGTCTAGATTTACAGATACAGATGAACTCGTGTTGACATAACCTACGAATTTCATTCAAAATGGCTACCGATTCCAAATAGCTATCAATTCAAAATGGCGCTTAACTGATGATACATAATAATATGATGTATCGTCAGTTAAGCACCATTTCGAATTTGTAGCTATTTTGAATCTGTAGCCATTTTTATTCGCGATAGAAAATAACACGTCGCCCCACCTGACGGCAGCAACTTGAACACTTTTGAGTGGTCCGGTTTGATATGACCAATAAGCACAAAAAAACCAAATGTGAACCAATGAAAACAAAGTAAACATGCCGCTTTGACAGCTTACAAGAACTCCGATAGGGAGCGTACGCTTATTTTCCATCGCGAATTGGAATTTGTAGGTTATGTCGAACATTAATATCTGTTTTGACGAGGTTGATGGTGCCGGAAGTATATGTAGTATACATTGGCTGCGCTGAATATGGGCGTTTGCTATCGGTGAAGCAATAAATAATAGGCCAAACTGCTCACATAATATCTGTTGAGCGCCATTTTGAATCGATATCCATTTTGATTGAAATTCGTAGTTTGTGTCGACCCTGAGTATTTCTTCATCATACGTATCGTCATTTGAGTTCCATTTATAACTATAGGTTTATATTTTTATATGTTCCGGAATGTATTTGTACGTTCTAACTCTGTACATTCAAACTCTAACTGAATAAACTATTTCCATAATTTACGGCTTATATTATCTATCATATGTGAGCTGTCATCTGTCGAATGTCATATGTGATACGTTGGCTGTAATCTACTAAATTTGATATGTTTATCATGAGACACCCTACCCTGTATACTATTTTTTTCTCTGAACCAGGTTTTTCGGATCCACTCTGTATATCATACTTCATCTTGTTATTGTAGTTGTGTGTTAGTTCCATTCTTATCGGCAGCTTGCGGTTAGCTCGCTCGTTGTAGCCGGATGTAGATTGCGGTTAGTGGGCGTGGTCTCCAACCAAATGCTGGCCTCTGATTGGCTAGCCGAGTCACGTGGTTTGGAGAAAAGTGGAGGAGTGGGGCTGGACTGAAGAGCTGGGATATCTACTCATTTGCTTTTTTGTTTTGGAAAATCAGATAGTAAATAATGGCGCTATTAGTTTGGGACGTTTTTGTCACTAACACGGTATAAGATTAATTATTTACTGAGAAAATTAGAACATTTTATAGGAAGAATAATTATGGTATCGGTTTTAAAAATATTGCATCAGCATAACCACACATTAGATACTATTCTCTTTTGTGTCAAAATTAGATGCAAGATCATATTGTGGATTTCCAATGAAATTGATCAACCTCCCGATCATTTTCTATTTCACCTCACAAACATCTCTTCAGGAAAGCTCACTAAAGTACAAATTGAATGTCTTCCTTTCCTAGAAGGTCTGGGTTTTTATGTTGTTTCCTTTTTTTTGACAGGGAGCGCGACAAGGATAGAAAACGCAGGCGATCACGGTCCAGAGATAAAGATAGAGAGACGAGGAAGAAGGAGAGAAGAGAACGTAGGGAGAGAGAAAAGGTGGAAAAGATACAGTTCATCAAAACTGACGACGGTAGTGAGATGGTCAGGGTCAAAGAAGAACCAGTGGATGGTGAGAATGATGATAATATTTTGATACTCGATTATTTTTTCCGTTTCATCCTTCATTATTGACACTAACAAGATGATCTACCTCCGTGTAAAATGTTGAAGCCCAATTTTGCCTTGGTTCTTGACTGGTTCGTAAGGGGCGCTAGCAAAACTCAACAAAAAGTAATTCTCCTTTTTGCTGATAGATACAGCCACCTACTGTATAGAATTACTGAATGGTTCATCTTGCTAATGTAAATAATTGGTTGTTTCATTGAGATTGTATCCTGACTGTTTAATGAATGCATTTTCAGTTTGTTTTTGTCTGAATAATGATTTGTTGTTCAGACCGAACTGATTCTGCTAGATAATAAGTATTTAGAGGCACAAGGGCCTATGGTCTTTGAGTATTGACAGTACGGTAGTATATGCCTCGTACAAATCATATAAACGTCTTTAATCAGAAATTAATGTCTTTAAATAATCTTTTTACTTTGCATCGACTTTTCAACAGGTTTTAACCCATTAACGACCGGCGTCCTTGTTTGAGGACGGTGTATTTAGACGAGGATTAAAAACGTGCGTGTTGAAAAATGTTACCTTATACAAGTTTCAACTTTCAGGGAGTTGTTTTTCTACTTGCAAGTACTCAAGTAGTGATGATAGTATATGCCTAATACAAATTATATGAACGTCTTTAATCACAAATTAATGTCTTGAAACAATCTTTGAATCTGCTTCGACTTTTCAACAGGTTTTAATCCATTAACAACAACCGTCCTTGTTTGAGGACGGTGTATTTAGACGAGGATTAAGAAAAGAAAAATTGTACCCTGCAATGGTTTCAACTATTAGGGGGTTGTTTTTCTAGTTCCAAGTAGTGATAATAATAGTTTTCCGAAACATTATTTCTTCTAATGTTCGAACCAGCTGGTCCTAGCGTCCTTGAATGGAGAGGACTGTTTTCTTTCTTTTTATCGAAAATTTGAAGTTGAAATATCGATTTAGGCAGGAGGTGAAGGCAATTTTTTGATTTAGGATGCCGATATTGAAATTTAGTAGTTAATAACGGGTGTTCGCTTTTCAGATTATGATTATTCGAATTATCAATCTTCCGATTTCGATCCCACCAAGGTGAAATTAGAGGACGAGGATGAGCAAAAGTACCAGCCAGAGAATGCAGCGAACGGAAATCGGCGGTACAATGACGAATACGAGGAAGGAGAGGCTTATTAAATTATCATTGTAAATCGTTTAGTGATAGTGTCTTGAAATTATCGCGGAGGCCGATTCAATGCCTGGCGGTTTCTCGAGTATCGCCCTTTAACCTCAAAGGATACCCGAGAAATCGTGGAGATTGGCTGATGATTGGGGCGAATATATTTATATTTGATTAATCTTCAAAACGGTTTGGGTACTTGTGTTCATATCACGTTGCGAAGTTAGGTTTAATCCCGATTTTACATTCATATGAATCACTGTATGTGTTGAGAATTGATAATAAATGACATGTACTCAGCTGCTGTGATATTTGAATGAATTGCAACTTCTTTCCTTTCCTGATCCTGATGTTGCCCATTGACCGTTCTAGAACACGTGATTTTGACATGGTTTTTTGGAGGGCACACAAACTCCTCGGTCGCCAAGGTCATTAGATGACGTTCCGATGACATTCGCGATAATGTAGGGATCTGAACACACAGTAGATGCTGGAAGACAAGATTTGAAAAATCAAGAGACAAGGCTATTGACTTTATTAGCGACGATAGGTTTTTATGTCGTTTTAATTAATCAAAAGATGTTTGATGTTTTTATTGATAATTGAGAATTATTATTGGAATTGAAAAGCTTGTCAGTTTTTGGCTTTTCTGATTCGTGAATTGAATAATTTATATGTGGACAACCCCCACTACAGGATGCCACCATATACGTATTAATAAACAATACGGATCATAACGGGTGCCAGGATGAAGCCAAAAATATGAAACAAATGAATATCCATAAGGATTTGGTGGCATGATACGCATGCGCCATGCGCTATTATAGTAGTCATCAAAGACATGCGTTTCGGTGGACAAGGACGTTTACTAGCCTTTCAATCAAAGCAGTATGTGTCTGATCGTTTCAAAACTTTTCCTTATGGATAGTCATTTGTCTTCAAAAATCGGCTTCATGTTTCGCTATGGAAACAGATAGAGATTATCCGTATTGATTATTAATACGTATATGGATGCCACTAGCAATCAAAATAAATTTCAGATTCATATTTCTCATGTCAGAAAACCTGAAACTACAGAATTTCATGCTCATGCTGTTGAAATTTACAAAGTTATTGGAAAATTATAATAAAATCCCTTAAAATCAGGCATGTTATGGACGCGGAGATAAGTATACATGAGTTGTTGCAGAAACACTACCCGTTTCTTGGAATGTGAATCTCGTGGTTTCGATTCCACTCTTTTCCCATCTCATGGAATTTGAATGAAAATAACCAAATTGGCAACACTGGAAAACTGAAACCAGAAAAGTGAGGTTGTGTTTTAATGTTTTACCTCCAGAGTCGGTCATCGCGCTCTTATATTTTATTCAATTCTGTTGAATGCCGTAACTTTTATTATTAATCGATGTGTTTTTACATTATTCTGGGTTTCCTTCTTCAACAAATATTGCAATTAGCAATAAAGACGTTGACAATGTCAGAAACCATCATGATCATGCGCAGCTTCACAGAAGTGTTGGCATTTTTCATGTTCCGTGGAACTGCGCATGCTTTCGATGATTTTGGACAGTATTTTTCCAACGAGAACAAACCTATAGTATCGTTTTATTTATCCGATTCCGCCACCGGGATCACTTTTATGTGTCGTTTTATTTGCAACTTATCCGATTCCGGAATGACTGTTGACAGTTGTCAAAAAATAATAGATTTTTGACATTTAGCAGACATTTTTATTTATCGTCAAGTTCACAAGTGATGATGATTCTTTCAAGTAAGACAGGTTTCATATGTTCATTCCCAGATGAAATTAATGCTCTCGGTCTCAGAGAAGTTTCTCCAATCACCACAATCAATGCTCGGAATATTCTTTGATAGATTTTCTAGATTCTCAACTCTTGTATCATGATTTTGAAATTATTTGGAGCCCCAATATATACATATAACCTCTTATGTGAAGTCTAATTCTCCCATGCAAGGTCATGAAGTTTCTTGTTTTATTTGTGAACGTCATTCTGTTCCCACCACCGCTACCAGAATGGAACAAATAAAACGCAACTTATGTCAATGATGTCAACACATCACGTCATACGTCAATGTCAAAACTAGAGAAGTGAGTCACTTGTCAATTACTATACGAAAAACGTCAGTGTCAAGTTCATTTTGGAACTCGGAACTCTACTCTCAGTACTGAAATTTGAATCATTGATTTGAATGAATTGTAAATAAAAATTGAAATATTCCTTCATTTTTGAAAATAAAAGAAATCTAAGCCTGCAATTCAGATTTGTGAATTCCGGCACATTGGCGGTCGATTCTTCAGTATTCTACCACTACCAAAATAATGGAGAGAGATATAGAACAACTGAATTCAGCCCTAAGTGCTATAAAAGTCCTTAGATCTAACGTCCGCAATGTATTCGACTCTGTCAGTAACGGATTACGAGCAGATCACGGAGATGAAGGCAAAGAAAGCAAATTCGTGCACGAGCTACAAGAATTGCTCACCACAGTCAATAACAACTTAAGGTAAGAACATTCAAAGTAACCCAGGTTATTAAGGGAAGATAGTACAGTTGTGTTGCTTCAGGGATGTTGAAAATGCAGTTTCCAATCTGACACCACCTCCTGGAGCCTTCAGTCTGGGCAACACAACTTACCTGAGTCAGGAGACTACCCAGGAAAGACAGGCATTGTATGGTCAGCTAGTTAATAGTTACAAATGGACAGATAAAGTATATTGTTCTCAATGCATTGATTGGTGATTTGATTACTGCTTTTTTTTAGATAAGAGAGTATAGTGCTGTGGCTGGGAATATACTAGCTGCTAATTCATTCAACAAGACTTATAAAACTTTTAGTACTACAAAGAGAAGGAAAACTCAAACTAGTAATCACAATGTGCCACCTGAGTAAGGCAAATTAATGTTGGCATCTAGGGCTTGGTAGCAAATTTTGTTGATGTTGCAGGGTCATTGAAAATCTGATAACTAGCATTGATAGGCTCTTTCCTGATGTTACATTCACTACCAACAGACCATTGGTTCCCAATCCTGTTATTCAGGTAGAATTTTCAGCTCCCCTAAATTATTTATCCAAGATGAAGCATTGAACTAATGTTTCAGGTGTCTTTAGGTAGAGTCTTGAAAGCTATTATAGCCTTCAAAGGGCTGATGATTGAATGGGTGGCAGTGAAGGCTCATGCAGAATCAAATGATTTGTGGGCTGAATCACGCTACAAAGTGTTCAGGAAAGTCACTGAAAATTGTCATGCTGCTATGTGTCATTTTCATTCACCCATGATGCCTGAACTTGCAGTAAGATCTTTCATGGTGAGCAATATTCCTTTCCCAAAAATTTTTTTTGGTACTTATGTATTTTTGTCTGAAAAACACGAATTTGCTAATGAAAATGTGAACAAACCATTATTTATTAAGATATTTCACTATAAAGTTACAAATTTCACCTTCTTTTCCGCCTGTCTTTGGGGCGCATTTAGAACAATTTGCCCTTCTTTTTCCATCATTGGACAATTTATATATATCACACAATGTTGGACACATTTTTTTTATTATATGAGTCAACTAGAAATATGATTTTATTGTGATTTATCCATTTTTAGTGAAAAGAAGGAAGAATCTCATTTGAAATAATGGCGTGTGTGATGTCATTCCAAAGCAATCTATTGACATTTGACATCTCCTATTTGGATTACCCATCGATTAAATGGCGGTCATCTGGTATGCTTGCTCACTAAATAGGAAAAACTCGCCATTAAAATCATATTTCCTGTCTTAAAATGTGTCATTGAAGTACATCATGAGTATATGAAGTGTCCAATGACAAAATAAAAAGAGCAAGTACATGTAAATGCATCCAACACAAGGGGGAAAATAAGGCAAAATTTCGAACTTTTTCTTGAAATATCTTGATAAATAGTGGTTTGTTCACATTTTCAATATCAAATTCGTGTTTTTCAGACAAAAATATGTAAGTACCAAAAAAATTTTTCGAAAAAAAACTCATCGCATAATAAGTGCAAAATTACCGGGAAAGTTTCTAATGAGTATCAATCTATAAAACATTGCCTATATCTTCAAGTCAAGGGAGACATTTCTGTACTGAAAACAAGAGCAAGATCAAGTTCTTGAACATTGACAAATGACACTCAGTTTGAAACTAATTGCTGTCAACAAATAACATAAAATGTCTGACCTTTTTCCTAATGAAATATGGTCAATTATTACATTAGCAATTCAATATACCTTCTCCTTTTTTTGAAAGAGAAATGAGAATAAATCAACAGAAAAATAAACAAAGCACTGATAACTTCTGAAAATTGTTGATGCTCTTATAAAATACTAGCTGACCGGGCAAACGTTGTTTTGCCATAAACATCATTTCTAGAAAAAAATTTTTAGATAAATATTTATCAGAAAACTATCATTATTTTATTTCTACTTCTTTTTAGTTTGTCAATCAATAAAAGCCAGGATTCTTTAGTTTTTCAAACTAATATTTATTACAATAGCTGATGCTGATACCCGGCAAACATTTTTTTGCTATATACTATAATATATGCTATATATATATATATAGAATCGGATCATAATCACAAAACTCAGTTGCCATATTGGATCCTCCATCTTTAATTTCCTTATTTTGATGAAGAATCATAATCTCCGATCCCAAAATCCCCCAGATTCAAATTTGGAATGGAATTGAATCATTGTTACAAAACTCGTCCGCCATATTAAATCTGCCATCTTGGATTCCCAAATTTTGATAAAAGAATCATTATCTCCGACTCTGAAAACCCCCTGATACCAATTTTGCATAGAATCTGATCATAATTAAAAAACTCGTCCGCCATATTGGATCCGCCATTTTGAATTTCCCCATTTTGACAAATGATCCATATCTCCGACCTCTAAAACCTCTAGATACCAATTTTGAATAGAATCTGACCATAATTGCAAAACTCGTCCGCCATATTGTATCCGCCATTTTGAATTTCCAAATTTTGACGAACGAACCATAATCTCCGACCCCGAAAACCCTCAGATACCAATTTTGATTATAATTTGATCATAATTACAAAACGTCCGCCATATTGGATCCGCCATTTTGAATTTCCTAATTTTGATAAAAAATCATAATCTCTGACCTCGAAAACCCCCAGATACCAATTTTGAATGGAATCTGACCATAATTACAAAACTCGTCCGCCATATTGGATCCGCCATTTTGAATTTCCTAATTTTGATTAAGAAATCATAACCTACGACCCCGAAAACCCCCAAATACCAATTTTGAATGAAATCGGATAACAATACTCGTCCACCATATTGGATCCGCCATCTTGAATGACGACCGATTCTCATACCTACCGAATACGCACAAAAAATTCCATACGAATCGGTCGAGCCGTTTCGGAGGAGTTCGACCACTAACACCGTGACCGGTACAGGAGAATTTTATACAGTATGATGCAAATGTATGGAATAAATTCATTATCTCAGAAATAGGCGACATTTGAAAAAATTCCAGAAACACGTGAGTTTTAATTTCTGAAGCCTCATATCATGATATTCATATGAGAGATGTTACGTCATCGGTGTTGGAGTAAAGAAGTAATGGACGATTTTTTCAAATACAAATAGGGGTCATGTGACACCTTGATTGAAAGGTCTACCGATCGTCTATTCAACAGTCAAAATGTTGCATAAGAAGATTGAAATTAAAATGGATTATCATGTGATTAATTGAATCTTGCAGAGGTCTGCTACTGAGAATTGAACATCGAAGGGTCGTCTAGTTAAAAAAATACGTCGAAAAAAAAGTTCTAAACTCTAGTTTTTGTTTTTGTTTCGAAAGTCGTCTTGTTTCGAAATGAATTTATTCCTTACATTTGCATCATACTGTACTGATTCATGATTCAAAACAAATTAACCAAACCAATAATATCAAATAAACAGATGATTATTGCATTTATTAATTCATGGTTGATTTTTTAGCATTGGTTCCATAGTTATAATACATTATTCAGTGCCCCTTGTAAAAGATGTGGGAACCACTTGCATACTACTTTGCCACCTACTTGGAGGGATTTGAGAACCCTGGAACCTTATCATGAGGAATGTAAATGAAAGTTATGTGTTTACTTCAATAAAGTTAGGAACAAACAAAAATAATATTCAAAATAACCTTGTCTTGTCCAGTCCAACCTTGTAGTAGGGTTTCCTGAGGAAATGGAATGCTGATATTTGTTTCATTTTTTAATGTATTCTGCAACTCTAAAACTTGAGTATATTCAACCTTCTTCGAATCCCTTTTCACAACAGAATCAGGAGGCATTAAAATATAATCAGAATCACCCTGTACAAGGGTACATACTGTAGGAAGCTCTATTTCTTTGTAATTTCAAGGGATTTTTGCCCAAAAGAAATGGAGCACAAGAATCTTTGAAAATATTATTAAGTCAATACCTTTAAATGAAATATTGATTGTGGATCCATTTTGGGATCCATTTTGATTTTTTTTTCAATGTTCAAATAATTAGAAAAAACAATGGTAAACCGTTTTACTAGTGGACTTTTATGACTCAATAAGATGTTTACTGGTATGGTATGGTCGTACATATTTTGCACAGAACACTACTCATCTTCTGTTTACAGACTTGGTATATTCTTTGTACCTGTAAGATGTTGTTTTTTTCGGAAAGGTGACGTTTTGCATGAAATGGATTCAAAAATTAGAGAAGAATCCAATGTATATTTCCATAACTAAATCAAATGAAAATTTTACTTTACCAAAATATATTGATCAAATTATTTGACACACAAATGCATAAAATAATGTAAAGAATTTAAAATATTGCGTGAAAGTTGTTCCCGAAGAGGAATGATGATTTTTAATGTGTCACAAATGCCTGTTGGTAGCTCATTCGACGAGACGCTCGTGTACAGTCGCATTCAAAAAAAGCGTACAAGTATATTACAGAGACTACAGAGAGAAATTAACGTCATCCTATTCTGCATAAAACTGGCTATCGGTAACGATTGTTCACCAAATGTTGACAGTAAAGTTGTCATAGGTTCTCGAATACACAAAGCATTGGCTGAGCCAGTTTTACACAACTAGAACTAGGATCCCGAAATCTTCTCTTTTTAATTCCTGTACGCTTTTTAATTGAATACGACTGTACAACAACTGTAACACATACTGTGTAACATTGGCTATTGAATCGACCAGCAAGCTACTGCCATTAAGGTCGACGTTTGAATTCGAAATAGCCTGAGTTTGGCCCGTATTCGCGATAGAAAATAACACGTTGCCCCACCTGACGGCAGCAACTTGAACACTTCTGAACGGTTTGTTTGGATGATATGACCAATAATCACAAACAGAAAACAAATGTGAACCAATGAAAACAAAGTGAACATGCCGATCTGACAGCTTTCAAGAACTTCGATAGATAGCGTACGCTTATTTTCTATCGCGAATAGTTCAATGGTACAAATTGTCTACCAGAGAGCGTTAAAGGGTTGAAATTTCATTATTTGATACTATTTGTATCAAATTCAGATACCAAACCAAGCGAACAGATTGAAAAAATACATGGTGGGAGATTGTTAATTTTTCTTCCAGAAATTGAATTACCTACCGATTTATAAAAAAAGTAACGAAAAAATATAATTGTCCGAGTTGGTCGTTTTGAGGTTTGTGTTCCCATTGCATGTGATGTAGGCCATGTAACTGATCCTCGGTGAAAGTCAATATTGGATTATATAACCGAAAACGATCATAACAAATGACCCGACAGTTCGTTGTGTTGTGAGACATGTTACGTTGGATGATCGTTACTTTTCTGTCGAGACCTAGACCTACTTTTCGTCCTGAGTCCTCAGGATATTTAAATAGTGTTGAATTTGTATGGTCTGCATTTTTTTTTTTTTTTTTTTCGAATTTCCAACAGTAATATCAATTTTGAATATTCGAGATTATTTTTTGCACATGTCAAAATGTGTTTTCGTTGTTTCAACCAATATCAAATCGTGATTCTAGCCAATCATTCGGTATCATACTGATGATTTGTTAGTAGCAGATTACAGCGATAATTGATAATATAATTAATTAATACCTATACAGGGTGATCCACGGTGGATGGCCTATTAGAAGTATCTGGAGTACGAAAAGACAGAAGATTCTGAAAATTGGGATGCTCTGATAATTGAACATTCTCTATCTGTCTAAAATATTTGCGTCGATACAGTGTTGCCACTTCTATCTGAAACAATTAACAGCTTTGTTATTTCAAATAGAACACCCTGTATTTTATTGCTTTTCTAGATTCTTCCTGAAGAGCTGATTTCATCAATGCATCACACTTGGGATCTATCGAAAATGATTACAGAGATATGGGGTGTTCAAAATCGGAGATTTTTTCAACTTTAGGATTTCTTTGTGTCGAAATTATTCATCATCGATCAAAATAGCTTACATGTCCCTATCTTAACTTTTGATCCACTATCTACTGGAATTTAATTGGAAAAAATACAGGTTGCTTCAAGATTCAGAATTCTGATCACCCTGTATCTGTTCCGATCAAATGTCAGTAGATAGTGAGTCGAAAGTTAAGATAGGGACATGTAAACTGTTTTGATCGATAATGAATAGTTTCGACACAAAAAAAACCTGAAATTGAAAAATCTCGATTATGGATAACACCCTATATCTCTGTAATCATTCCTGCTAGACCCCAAGTGTGATACATTAATGAAATCAGCTCTTCAGGAAGAATCTGAAAATGCAATAAAATACAGGGTGCTCCATTTAAAATAACGAAGTTGCTAGTTGTTTCTGATGAAAGTGACAACACTGTATCGATGAAAATATTTCAGACGGATAGAGAATGTGCAATGATCAAAGCATCCCAATTTTCAGAATGTTCTGTCTTTTCGTTCTCCAGATACTGCTAATAGGCCATCCACCGTGGATCACCCTGTATAAACAACAAGTCTGTTGGAACAAAAATTGTGTGGCTGTTAAATGTTCGTTTTCGCTGGGCAGTTTGCGAAATATTATTGAAAAAATGATCGTCGAATTGCATTCGTGTTGGTGTAGTTGGAGTATTTTGAATTTTTCTCATCATATGATGAAAATATTCCCATAGGAATGATAATAATATATAGATATGAAGGTAAAGGGCTTTCACGTTGGGTTGATAGTTGCCCAATACTTGGTAACAATGTCGTGCCAAAACTGCACATCGAAAAATACTAGTAACTTTCGAAATGGGCGAACCGCGTTATCGATTTAGGTTGGCAAAACTGTACACCGATGCCAGATTCATTTGACATTTCTAGAAGCGATTTGTTGTGATCAGCTGATCTCTGCGAATTATTCATTACTGACAATTTGTTCTTTCAAGGAATCGTTTGTGATTTATTTGTGGATCATAGGTGAAATTCGATTTATTCAAAATGCCTAAACCATTGAATGCGGAGGCGCAGAAGATGGTGGTATCATTGATACAATATTTCGAAAATGAACGTGATAACGATGGCCCTTTACTTCCAATGACTGCTGTTATTGAATGATGGTATTAATAATGATATTTTGTGTTGATGATTATGATTTGGATGGCCCCAAAAACACTGACTTACACTAGACATATCCATATTCGGGCGGTTGGTCATTCAGTCATTTCCTTTCAACTGGTAACACTGTATGTGTTGACATATTGACGTCACTATCAACCCAGCGTGAAAACCCTTTATCATTTTTTCCACAGCTCAGTATAATTCTAATTGACCCACTTCGGTTCCGAATGACTCACATCTAGGCCTTTACACTCACAATTCTTATATAAGGATTATACAATGATCAAACTCGTGAGAGGTAAGAACCACGCAAAAACGGTAGATTACAGGGTGATTCACGTGGTCCACACATTAAATGTTTAACAAATTGTAGTGGGATTGAAAAGTTGAAAATTGGTATATGTTCATACAGGGTGTTTCAGAGTTGTGGTGAAAAAAGCCTGGAGGAGATTCTTCTCAACAAAATATGAAATTGTTATTTATGTACCAAGGACGAAACATTCTGTCTGTTATAGTCGCGTCTGCAAATAGATTTATTACTTATTTTGTAAAATTAATTTAAACAGAGCGTGCGGATAATTAATAATAATATTATAGGTGATTATAATAATGAATAAGTGTCAAAATATTTTTCAGTAGATCATGAAATGTTTCAGTAGATCAGTTGATCAATATGGAAATCAGGAGATCTATCGAAAACTCTGTAGAACTGGCAATGTTGCAGCGGACGAAAAGTGTTTGCGGACGAAGGGTATTTGTCTTCGGAACTAATCGGATTTTCGTTCGGAAATTTGTACGTAAAATGTGATTTTTTGTAGAGATCGACGAAAAAAAAGTTTATTGAACATGGGTCCGAAAATGTTTCGATCCCGAGATGTCCCAGTTTGAAAAAATCAGTTGACAAATTGGAAAAATATTTCTCACAAAATTTGAGGATCGTATAAATTTTGGAGAGGCTATTCAATTTCATGTCTTTAGTTTTCATAAATGATAATGTGCAATACTTTTTTGGATTATATCTAAGCATTTTTACTTCTCAGTTCAGAGATATGTCGAGGTATGGTATTGTCTGTTTTTCAAGAAAAACCTGAAAAAACAATACGCCTTTTCTCTAGAAAAGTCGATCTCACTGTGCCCAACATAAGCTTGTCAGGTGTAACCATACCTTTGAAGACATCCATTCCGATGCTTGATCAGCAATAACCTTTCTTGGTAAAATCACGTGAGATCGATTGCTAAAAGTGCATCCCAAAAACTTCGTTTTCTGTTTCGGGCCTGGAGCTATTTCACTTCCAGTCAGCTGCTTATGATCTATAAGGCACAGATCCGACGTGTCCTGGAATACTGTTCTCATATTTGGAGTGCAGCACCCAAACATACCCTGAAACTGTTGGATTCTGTCCAAAAAAGGGCAATTCGTCTCGTGGGTGATGCCTCGCTCACAAACTCACTCACTTTTCTGGAACTCCGTAGAAACGTTGGCGATCTGGCTCTATTTTATAGATATTTTCATGGGCGATGCTCTTCTGAAATATCAACAATTGTTCCTCTCTTGGCAGTCTCCGCGAGAT